ATTTATATTCCCTCCTGCCCAGAAGTGGGTTTCAGCAGGTTCTGACCAGTTCTGGAGAACTGGTAACAGAAATTTTGAGTAGTTCGGAGAACCGGTAGTAAAAATTCTGATTGGCCTGCCCCCATCTATTCTCTGCCTCCCAAGTCCCAGCTGACCGGGAGGAAATGGGGATTTTGCAGTAACCTTCCCCTGGAGTGGGGTGGGATTGGAGATTTTACAGTATCCTTTCCCTGTCACATCCACCAAGCCACGCCCACCAAGCTATGCCACGCCTACCAAGCCGCACCCACAAAACCGGTAGTAAAAATTTTGAAACCCACCACTGCTCCTGCCATCATATTGTAATTCTATTCAGGAAATATATAAGAAGAAGAAAAAAACAGTTTACTAATCCATTTTAAGAACAAGTGGGGTAGAATCATATGGCTGAAATTAGTCCTTGACTTACAACAGTTCACTTAATACAATGGCAGTGAAAAAAGTGACTTGTGACCATTTTTCATAGTTATAGCCTTTCCAGCATCCCTATGATTATGTGATCAAAATTCAGATGCTTGGCAACTGGTTCATATTTATGACCGTCGCTGTGTCCTAAGATTATGTGATCACTTTTGCAACTTTCTGACAAGCAAAGTCAATGGGGAACCCAGATTCACTTAACAACCAGGTTACTAACTTATCAACTTCAGTGATTCACTTAACAACTGAAGCAAGAAAGGGGCATAGTAAAATGGGGCAAAATTCACTTAACAAATGTATCACTTAGCAACAGAAATTTTGAGCTGAATTGTGGTCGTAAATCAAGGACTACCTCGACTTAGGACTTCTCAGGCTTCGTCAAGTGTCACTTGCTTCATTCAGTTCTAATCAACACATCAAACTTGAATCGCCATTTTCTACTTACTACGTTTTTTCCATCACAGATTACTACATACCACTGAGTCGTTATAATGATTGTAAACCAAACTTTCTTGCTCCAGAATCCCTCCTGTGTGATGCAAGAATTATATGATATGATTGTGTTTCATAACAAGACCAATGCATCACTTTGTTGCAGAATATTTATTTTTTGTTCAGATGAGACTAGAAATGTGGTTCCTAACTTTGGTAATCAAAGGCTCGAGATTCTAAACAGCTCTATTCCCCTCTAGTGGCATAATTGCATTTAATTGGCTTGCAAGGCCGCTACTTATGTACTAAGTCCATTGTCATGTGATGTCGTTGGTGACAAAGTCACCTATTATAGAAGAGAAACTCAAAATACAAAGGTTGCTTATGCATTAAGTTTCATACTTACCTCTCTTGTTTGTTTATTTCAAATATGTAGAGTAACTGTAGGACAGCTCCCTATACCACGTAGCTTTTTATTCCAAATAGGTATCTAGAGAGCATATCCTAATCTAGTGATGATGGAGGAGGAAAAACATTCTATGGGGTGCAAAGGTCAAGTGATTCATAGTATTCAACAGTACTCTGTGGTGTTGGCATGCCATCCATGTTTCAGTGACCTTTCAACCACAAGTAATGACATAACTGTTGATCAGAATAGCAACTTTTATTGGGTTGATGCAATGGATAGCACTCTTAATCTGGTTTGTTTATGAGCTGGGATTTCCCCTTGCTTAATAAGCATGTTGTCATCTCATACCTAAAAGCAATAATAAGACGTGCTCTCTTTAAAATCATGGACCTTTTTTTTTTTTGCATAAGAGCCAGTGGTGGCTTAAGGACTGAATAAATCAGAAAATGACTTAGGGTCCTGCATTCAAAGAAGACCATTTAACTTTTTGTAGTTTGTTTTCCTTATATGAATGATAATCGGAATCGGATTTTTACAGACCCATCAAGAGTTGAGAAATCTGAGAATAAAATCTGATATATTAGCCATTCAGGTTATAAAAGTCACCAGGTTCATAAAACACACTAAACCATAAATTATGATTGAGAAACTATAGTAGCTGATTTCACAAGGTGCTAAACAAAATCCAAACAAACCACACAATGGCTTAATGAAACCAGACAAGTTGGGCAGAAGTACACTATCTTTGCAGCAACAGAAGCAGGGGCATTCATGGTGGGAGGAAAGGATGACAAAAAAAAATCAAAATGGCGGTTGTGACTGCCCAATCAGAGCCCTTTCCCTTTATACATGTATCTCATAATGCACATAAAAGGGGAGTAGGACTTCTGTTATTTGGGCATGATGTTATCTGTTTTTGCCTCCCTACCCCACTAGGAAAAACCAACTACATTTCTATGTAATTTTTCAATGTAATCTAAACAACATTCCCCATTTAATTAATTTGTTTCAGGAAAATCCTATTTTCTTATATATCCTATTTATTGAAAATATTTGTGGGCAAATGTGAAAATGTCAACTCTTCCCTTCTAAAATTACAAATAATAATTTTTGATAGTGATTACTATTATGGATAGGCAACTGGAAATCCTATACTTTTAGGATTTCAACCCAATTATTTCAGGGAATTTACTAGTAGCAAGGAATTGGGCAGGTGATGGTGGTAGAAAAGCAAAATATTTGGCAAATACCATACAGTATTTCCCACACCTGTTATTAGGAACTTTTTGATAACTGCCTATGCATTCTCAGGTCCTTACGTTGCTTCAAAAAGCTATTTCATTATTTTAATACATTTTATCAAGGAGTTTTACAATACTAAACGATAATACAAATTGTAATCGGAAAAGAAAGAAGAAATACAGACTGCAAAAGAAAAAAAGAAAAGACATAGAAAAAAATATTTAAAGAAGTGACTCCCAATCTTTCTTGCAACAAAAACAGGCAAATTCATAGTTCCTCATCTCCTATGAAAATATGTATACAATTTACTTCTTCCCATAACCCCCCATCCATTCACAAATCCAAAAATCATTGTCATTTCTGTGAGAAATGCTATTTTCTAACTAGCACCATACACCATTGATATAGTTTAAACAATAGGTATGTATTGAAGCCTCTAGTTCAGTGTTTCTCAACCTTGACATGTATAAGATTTCAACTCCCAGGATTCCCAGGCAGTATTGGAGAAATCACCAAAACAGAAAGAGAACTGAGTTTTCCAGAGACTCAGTGTGTGTTGATATAAAGAGAGAAGAAAAAAAAAGTTTCTCCAGACTGTTGAGATATAATGAATTGCCTAACTCAAGCTTGGTGTGGTTATCTATGTGCAGTACATCCAAACCTAGAAGAAAGTCTATAAATAAGCTGTGGAGCATATTTGTTTGTCCTGCAAAGCTATTGTCATCATTTGGACTATGTCCTGAGGGCACCAAATGATTGCCATGTTGTGAAATATACTTGCCTTTAAGCTTTTAGAGGCTTCAGGAAAATAGGGTAGGTCAGTTGCCACATGGTGATATCAGGAGTGAAGAAGAGTGAAGTAAGTTCATCAGGTGAAGAGGAGGGGGAACAAGACACGAGTTCCATGTTCCATGTTAAAAGAGGCATTCCAAAGCATCAAGGTTGTAGAGGTGATGGAGACTACTAAATTCAAGCTAAAACATGAAAGGCCATTCTAGGTCGGTTTGATGAAAAAAAAAAACAGGAAATTAGGCAGTATACATCAGCTTGCATATGGAACAAGGAAACTTGGCTTATGAAAGAACCGTGGTGCAAAAATATGTGGAGCCAGAGGAAAGAGGTAGACAGGGCCAGGGCAAAAGCTGAAAATTATGTTTTGATATTGAACTAAAAGGGAATTAGAATTAATCAGAGTTAGTTTCTGTGCATTTCTAGGATATGAACAATTATATCTTGGTGGCAATGTTTGGATAGTCTGTGGAGCTGCAGCCAAGACTTTCAGGGCCATGTGCAATCCACAGCAGGGAACATGCACACACACAGAGAGAGGGACATACATGCTATATGGATGACTGAGACTGTGTGAGTTCTCCAGTTATGCTTCTCCCTGATCAAACACATAATACTCCTAACCCTTTCTTTTTGGCCTCCAATTGGTTTATTATACCCTTAATTACTTCCATCTTTGTTTATCATTTCCCCTCATCCTCCCTCTCCATGTTCTTAGAATTGCTTTCTTTCAGGGAAAGGGTTTATAGAAATGTGAAAGCACGTGAGAAGATAAAGTCAGGGCTGACAGCTGTTTGTATTGGCTTGGATCCTGCCCCTTTAACAGCAGCCTGACATGCAACTGCTAATTGAAGCTGGAAGTTGCTCTTGATAGGAAGCTTTCCTTGCTTAACTTCTGCACGTCATACGGCTGTTAAAACTCCAGAGCCAGTTAGAAATCTGGCAACCTTTGAGGCTATTCAACTGCTAAGGAGGAGAAGGGCTGGTTCTGAGGGGTCCCTGGATTAGAGACCACCTGGTAGCCAGATGTAAATTATCCTAAAACTCTTTGCAGGAAGAGTTGGTTATAAATGAAACAAAACAAAAACAAAGAGTTATACACAGTGAATTAGGTAGGGGAAGATGGGAAACAGGCAAAGCACAAGTGAATTCAATTATCCAAGTTTGGGAAGAAGAATTCTACAACAAGTTATGTCATACCAACAGGTTTTGAGTTGTACATCAGTCAAGACTGAGAGTTATAAACAGGCTGAATCTCTCAGAATGCCCAAAGCAGGATCAGAACTTTTGAAAAGGAAGTTCTCAATTTGATGTATTGTTTCTCAAACTTAACTTATGTGGACTTCAACTCCCAGAATTCCCCAGCCAGAATTCTGGAAATTAAAGTCCACACATCTTAAAGTTGCTAAATTTGAGAAACACTAGTCTAAAGAAAGGGCTGATTTATCTGTTCATGTGAAGGCTCTAATACAACATCTTCTATTAAAAAACTGTCCACCCTTTCACCTTCTTTCTCTGTAACTTCTACGGGATATATAAAGATCCTAAGTAATATATATTTGATCACTTTGTACGTATGTGTGAGAGAGAGGGAGAGGGAGAGGGAGGGAGGGAAGGAGAGAGAGAGAAACAGTTGTCTTTTTAAGTTAATGGCTTTGCTAGCCCTTACCTTTTTTATTCTTCTAGCATGAGATACCAGGTTTCCCATTAGCTTGCAGCCTGCAACTTCTGCACTCTGCATATAGGTGTGGATGCAGGAAGGTCTGCAAGGCAATTTAGAACAGTCAAAATGGCAGCCATGAAGCCTCACACCATCACTCACACTATACAAAAAATGTTGTAGAGTCACAGCCAACTTCTTGACCACCACCCCCTGGGTATCATTGTCCTGGGTGGAGATCGTAAAATCCCTAGTGACAGCATAAAACTATTTTAACATTTCTAACAACAGCTGTCTACAGCAGCCGCATGATTCCTCTGTACTTTGAGACAGAACTGTATCCTCAAAAATAGACTTAACATTACTTTACAAAACAAAAGCTCCAGAAATTTCAATAAACCAGAAAAAAAAATCCCTGAAAATCTGAATTGTCTATAAGCATGACATGCTCCTATCATTATGCATCATTTCCACACTCACTGTGATCCTCACATTCCCCAAAGAGATGAAATGGTCACTACCAGCTTGCCAATCCTCAATTCCTCTTAGGCGTCCAAGGCACTATGGATACAGATTAGAAAGAAGTCCCGTGTGTGTGAAGGGCCTACTTATGATGAAAACAGGGAAGATTGTTTCCCTGGGATTCAGTGGGCTCCTGGCTGCAGGGCTTCAGCAATCCTAGTCACATGGGGCTTGTCCCAGAAGGAGAAGTGGCAGGCAGGGAGGGAGGGAGAGTTAACTTCTACAGGCTCTCTAAAAGAAGAGGAAGAGAAGGTGCCAGTCCATGCAATGGAAGAGGCATCTTTAGAGGGCCTTGCAGCTTTCCAGGTGATTCATGCTGGCTGTTCTCTCATCTCTTAAAAGCCCCCTACTGGTTTGTGTCTATGTGACCCAAGTCTTCCCTTTCTCCAACACTCAGTTGCCACAGCCTGGGCAACTGGGCACTTTAGCTGTCTCATCATTGCTGTTGCTTTAGTGCCCAGAGAGCTCTGCTGCAACTTGTTCAGTCCCATACTTGAACCCTTGTACTGAAAGCAGGAAAACACTAAATAAACTGAAGCTTTTCCAAACAGTTGATGGAACTAGATCCACTTTAATCTTAAGGATGTAGAGTGTAATTTCCAAATACTTGTCAGGAAATGATGTCTGTGATTTGAACTCAATAAAGCACCAAGAGATTATTTGCTCCAATGCTTTCCTGAGTTACTCATCTCTGGTTCTAATCTTTCAAGCAGAACATTCATCTCACCCACAATAGAAAGAAGAAAAGTATGAAGACTATGGAAGAATGCTAGAGGCAGGGGATATGTCTGTACTGTCACCGAGCACCTTAGAACATAGAATAATCTAACCATCATTTCCTAATGACAGTCTTGCAGTATTCTATTTTACTAGCCATTCCCCGGTGGTCAGATGCTTAGTAGCTCTTTCTTGTCTGCCCTACAACCACTACTGATGCCATTTAACTAGGAAATTGGTGCAGGAAAGCATAATAAGCAGAGGACAGGTCTAATATGCAGTAGAGCCTGTTAAACTATATTCTGAATAAAGTGCATTGTTGTTCAGAAACTGCAATTGGTATAAAATGCAGCAGGTTACTTGTTATTACTTAAGGATCTATTAGGCCTGTGCTGTGGGCCCTCCATTGGTTGCCAGAGGTTTTCCAGATCCATTGATGGCTTTAACCTATACAGCTCTATCTGGCTTGGAACCAAGATCCTTGCTAGACTGCTTTGTCCAGTCAAAACTAAGCTGCCCAATGTGCCCATCCTTTTAAAAACACTCAGGGATTCTCCACTCCCGAGGTAGGAATAGGCCATGCTATTTCTCTGTTATGGATCAAGTTCTACAGAACAGCCTTCCACCAAAAATTAAATTTGCTCCATTGTTTTAATCATTTTCTAAAGCGCTCTTAGTGGTTCTGTCTGTTGGTTGTGTAATGATGCCCCTGCTGTTTATAAATAGTTTTAATGATTAATACCGTGAACATTTTCATTCAGCTTTAAATGATTTAATTAATTCTTAATCTAATTACCATGGACACTTCGCTGTTTATTTGTGTGCTATAAAGCAATGGGAGAATTTGTGAAATACAATGGCATTCAAGACCAATCAATCAAGCAAACAATGAGGTCTGCACAAACACATACACAAAAGACCACTTAGTTCAGTGTGTAAGATATCTGTCTGCATCACTAGGAATCACTCCCCGATCTTCCTCAAGCCAAAATTAGTGGAGGATAAAGAGGCCAAAGCCAAGTCCAGCAATGAAATCATAAACTGCATAAAACCTATTAAGAGAGAAAGAGAGTAGCATGACATGCATAATGGGCATAAGATCTTAAAGCCAGGTCCAAACCCATATAAACTGAGCTTTGGCCACTTTGTTGCTCTCCAATGCCTTTCTCCCTAGGCTGCTGGCATTTGCTTTAAAGAGAGATTGACTTGAAGCTTAACAGTAGCATCATTTTGATGGAAGACGTATTTGCTAGTCTTCTTAATGTTAGGCCAGGGCAAGCAACTTTCTTCAGTCTAAAGGTTAGGATCCCACCCCCATCTCCCACCCACAGTTATTTTAGCTTCCAAAGGCCTAGGCATCCCAATAACACATCACATTACCTAGTCCAAAACAGCTTATTTTTGTGCTTTAGAGGAATTGGATAATATGATATAAAGGTGGAAACAAGATGTAATATCTCCAGTTTTACTTTTAATTTCTCCCCCAAAGATAAACAGCATGGTATCTAAAATTGGACATTTTGCTTTTGAATATCATGATCATGGGATATAATGGGGGTTGAATATTGGGGCTTAGTTAAATGTTGGCTTTGGGAATAGAATGAATCCTCCTGTTATATGACATTGTTGATCATGCAAATATGGCTTGTCTATAAAACACTGTGTGAATGTCTATTTTGATTTTTAATATCACTTTATCTAATAAACACGCAAATATGTGTGTTTATTAGATTTATACCTTGCTCTTCCTCTAGGAGCTCAAGGCAGTGTAGATTGCATTCCTTTTCCTCCTATTTTTCCCCATTTCATTAACCCCATGGGAGAATTGGACTGAGAGACAGTGACTGGCTCAAATTCATTTATTTCTACGACTGAAGCTGAGTTTGGCAGAATGATTTTCATTGCAGGAGGTCTAGATCTCTTCTCCAGTTTCTTTGAAAATTCATGCCAGTTCTCTTCCTTATTTAACCAAAGGAAGAAAAAAATATATATCTACACTAGTTTTCTCCATCCTGGTGCCCTTTAAACTACAACCTCCTTCATTCTGAGCCAGGACATCCCTTAGCAAATGACAATGGGACATCCTAGGAATCTTAAACCCCTTTATGTCTAAACATATTCTTTTCTAAATTCCAACTTGAATGTTACACTTTTGAAACAAAGCTATACAAAAAAAGGAAGGTGATCTGCTTTTAAAACAATTGCCCAATGTCTTTGGGCCCAGAAGCTCAACTTTGAATCCTCTTTTTGCCTCCGGCCTTCTCTTACCAGACCCTGGAAGATGGGGTTTTCAGCTGGGCTTCATTAAGGAGCAGCCAGCCAGCCTGTTGGCCCTAAGGAGTTTGGATGTATTTTCTCCCACAGTGATCAGAACATTTACAGTCCCGTGCCCTGAAGTCAAGGGACCAGGTTGAAATGTTTTGTTTACTCCCTTCTGTGAGAAAGCAGAGATTTCACATGGCTATTTTCCTGCCATAGCAAAATGGGACTGGTGAATTGATCTTGGCAAAGAATGTCTTGTTTGTTTATTTCTCTGAGGCAAGGAAAACATCTGATTACCTTCACGAGGCTTTGCTTTGCCTAGTCGGGTGTAGACAAAAGGGAACCCTGAGTTTAAATTGTTCTCAATCTTCCTGGGAGAATAGCAGGAACTGTTACTCACAAGTCTTCTAGCACACGGGAGGGAAAAGGCACATGATTGCTTTCTTCAAGGGTTCTTCACTGCCTTGTGTTCCCAAACTCTCCAAGCAATTGTCCCCCATGTGTGCAGACACATTTTTATTTGCACCATACAGTTCAATAATATTATATTGAGCAAACAAATAATAGCCAGGAATCCTACGAATTTGGGGCACTACTCTTTTATTCAATGGTGAAATCCAAATTTTTTTACTACCGGTTCTGTGAGCGTGGCTTGGTGGGCGTGGCTTGTTGGGGGTATGGCAGGGAAAGGATACTGCAAAATCTCCATTCCCACCCCACTCCAGGGGAAGGGTACTGCAAAATCCCCATTCCCACCCCACTCTGGAGCCAGCCAGAGGTGGTATTTGCCAGTTCTCCGAACTACTCAAAATTTCTGCTACGGTTCTACAGATGTCACCCCTGCTTTAAAAAAAAAAGCTTCTGTGGCTTAAAAATAAAAATTAATTGCCTATTCTTCCTCTTGTCCATGTTTCTACAACTTTGCCACTTCTTCTGCCCATTAAGCAATAATTATCCCCATGGGCTAGATTCAAGAGAAGCAATTTATAATTAATTATTTTTTTAAGAAGGAGAAGGAGGATCTTGCTAATCCATCTATTTTGCACCTTCAGGATAAAGCAAGAGTTATATTACAACAAATCAGCAAATTGCCAAATGTTATGATGTGATTCAGGAAGGATGCTTAATGATTATTAGAACATGATCATGATTCTCTCAGATCATGGCTTGTTGGTTACTAGAATACGAATGCAGATTATTCTAAATCTAAAGTGGATTTTGTTTTTAGAGAGAGAAAGATCTGAAAAATATTAAGATAAATATTGGCAATTTGCCCTAATTTTGGCTTTGACACATATGATTTGGGAGTTTACCCTTAGTAGTCCAATTTGGAGCTTATATCCAAACCATTTCTAACATGATTTTGCTGAGACATATAAAATACAAAGATGATGTGATATTGAACTACCAAAAACCTGGTGCATTTTGCTTCTGGAGTACTTCAGGTTTAATGAATTTGGAGCATAGCCTAAAATATGGGTTTTGCTCCAGAATTAAAACCCTGAACTGAAGATATGTTTTCACTTTCACTCTTTAAACTATTTTTTATCAATGCAACAGAAAGACTGAACAATTCTATATGAGCATGTGCTGTTTAACAATTGAACTGATGCTAGGCACTGTACTATGTGCAAATTATTTTTAAGCATGGATTTATTTTGCCCCCTTGCCCTTTTTTTAAAAAAAACTTCCTTTCTTTTGTTTTTTAAACATATATTCTGCTTTGTGGTTTTTTTTATTTAAGAAAACAGAAGGCAGAACAAAATAAACCATTGCTTGTTGAATAAAACACAATGTCCAGATTCAGACAATATGGTTAGCCACAACTAAACAAATTGTTTTTGGGTGAGCACAATGTGTGAATCCTGCCTGTTTATGAAACTCATTTCATTCATTAAAAAATCTACTAATCCCATTGAAGAAGAATGAAGTGCAACAATGACACAGCAAAAGATTTTATACCAACTTTGTATCTCAGCCTATTTATGAATGTAACCAAGGCCTCCCCATGATTGTTGTAGATATAGTTGTAAAGAATAAACCCATTTCAAGACTTCCAAATCTTCATTGTGGGTGGAATGGTGGGTCTCGTCCCTGCCTCCTCACCTACTAATTTCAATCTCCAGCAATCATTCCTAAAGTAGCAGCAGGAAATGTTTAAAGTCAAAATGAAACATGCTAACTCAGAAAACAAAGATTTACCAAAATATATTCTCATCATCAGTGCTGGGTTTTCTGACCAAAAGCAGCTAGAGGACAAGAGGAAGTGTTCATGCAAAATTCTGAATTGTCAATCTGCTTTTTTTTGTTTATCGTTCAAGTCCATATGAATGATACCACATAATTAGTTTCTAATTCAGATTGGTGACTTTATATCAATATTTCCTGTTCACTAGATTTACTCCTTAGTAACCTTCTCTTATTTGTTGATTATTTAAATTCTACCAGGAACTGAACATTTCTAGTAGAGGTATTTCCTTTTTTTTTTTTTTAGGTACTAAATAGATTTAAGAGAAATGCTGATTCATAAAGGCCAGAGCTGTCATTTGTCCCCTTCTCTTCTTTGGTTCCTAATACAATTTTTATTTTTATCTTATAACTGATCCCTTCAATTTCTGAATTGCCTTTTATGTATATTTGAAAACTATTGAGCTTACATACATACACACACACACACACACAAAGTCATTTGACTGCAAATGAACAAGGATGAGGGAAGACTGGAAAGGTGTGTGTTCTGAGATGTTTTGTGGATAACATCTTGAACAGCAACTGGCAGATTGCAAGTAATGTTTCCAAGAGCTGTTAATTGAATGAATTGGTTGACTAAATTATTATTCCTGAGTAAGCAGAGACTGAAAATGTCATATAAGGTAGCCATGTTCTAGAGAGCAAGTTTCTGAACTAAACAAATAGGGAAAATAATGAAAAGTATGCCAAGGACCTCAGCAGGGAAGTCCTCAGCAAATTTGGTCTCTAAGTACAGAGTGCGTACTTAAATTCTTAAATTTAAGAATCTGAGAATGAAAAAGAAGAAATAAAAACTATTTTTGGTGCACTAAGAAGCAAACGTGAAAAGACGGGAACCTGGAGTTGTGAGCTGCAATGCTCGGAGCATGTTTGTTTTCCTAACTAAAACCAATCTGGCATATATTTTCAGGAAATGCAAATTTATAACTATCCTTGGAGAAAAGTCCAAGGCTTGGAGCAGTGAATAGATTTACTTCACCTGATGAAAAAAAGATAAGGATTTCCTAGTTATAAGAAAGGAAAGTCTACAACATGACTGAGGCTGATAGAGGTACTCTCTATAAAGAGCACAGGGAAAGATTCACTGCAAAATAGGAAATGGGAGGATAGATCATCAAACAGCAGAGAGGATTCAGCTGTGCTTTATACAAGGCAAAGAAGTCACAATAGTGATTTACTATAGAAAGAAATGAAACAAAGATATTCCAGCCAGGCTGATCAGCTTGTAGGCTGTTGACTACTAGGAACCAAAATCAAGAATAACTTTCAAAGCTAATCCACAAATTTAATCCACAGACCATTATTACTTTCTAATACTGTGTTTCCCCAAAAATAAGACAGGGTCTTATTTTCTTTTGAACCCCGAAATAAGGGCTTGGCCTTATTATCGGGGGTGGGGGGTCCAGAAGAGAGAGGCTCCCTCCATGCACCATCAAGCCCCTCCCCTCCTGCGGAGGGAATGGGCCGAAGGTGCCAAGCCACATGAGTGCCTGTTCCTCCCCCGCTTGCGCGCCTCCCAGGCCTCACCACGTCGATGTGGGAGAAGCCAGTGAACACCTGGCTGGAAATGGAGAAGATGCCGGTTGGGCCAGCCACCTGCTGCCAAGTCTTCCAGGAACCAGGTCAGAGAGGTGGCGAAGGGCGAAGGGAGCCACAGCCCCGCATGGGGAGACTGCGCCACTGCCATCATCCGAGCACTGAGGATGGCTACCTCAGCAGCTTCCAAATCCCAGCTGGAAGCCGTTGGAAGCAGAAAAGAGGCCAGTCGGGCCAGCCGCCTGCTGTCGGGTCTTCCGGAAGCCAGGGCAACCAATGGAGTTGGAACTATAGAGCGGGAAGTGCACTCCCAGAGTGGCCTGGGATCACATGACCCTGGGACACTGCAACCATCATAAATATGAACCAGTTGCCAAGCGTCTGAATTTTGATCATGTGACCATAGGGATGCTGCAATGGTCGTAAGTGTGAAAATGCTTACGCTTTTCAATGCCATTGTAACTTCAAATGGTCACTAAATGAACTGATGTAAATCGAGGACTACTGCACCTGTACTTCTGATCTGAACTATGGAGTACTTGGTAGTCTCTAAGCTTTTTTCTTTGAGATATTTCATTACCCAGCTAGGTAACGATGCTGCTACCTAGCTGGGAAATGAAATATCTGCAAGCAAACCACCAAGAGATCACCAAGTTATCCACAATCAGGGATGTGTTTTTGAGGCCTAGTCTAAATCTGCTTGCTTGCAGCTTAGCCCATTGGTTCTATCCTTCCCTCTTTAGCCGTATCTCTTTATAGAATTTTTTTCTGGTGGCTAAATATATTCAGTTTTTTTCATTGTTCCTCACAGAGGTTCATTTCCCTCCTCTGAATTTGCTCAAATTTGTTACTGTCCTTTTTGAACTGAATGCCCAGAACTAAATATAGTAGCCGAATAGGATTGGATAAGGCCACAGCAGAACTGAACAATTATTTCTGTGATTTGCAACCTAGGATAGCAGCTGCCTCATATTGTTGTAATCAACAAGGGCACCCAGATCCTTTTCACATATATTGTTGCCAGCTTAGGTCTTCTCCATCTTATACGTGCGCCTTACATTCTTCCTACCTTGATGATGTCGAAATTTATATTTTTCCTGATTAAAGCTCATTGTATTCATTTCAGCCCCCTGTTCAAGATTGTCAGCAACTCTAAAATCTTCCTTCTTTCAACAAGTCATCCCTCTCAACTTTCTCTCATCTGCAACCTTTGTAAACGTCTCCTCAATTCCCTCATCCAGCCATTGAAAGAAAGGTTGAACAGAACAGTACCCAAGACAATGCTTTGTACCACACTATTTGATAGTTCTAAGGTAACGTAAATCGTTTCTGAAACTTAGTCCGTGATAGCTGAATGAAAAACTTTGTGCACCAGATGGTGTTCCCCACAAATGTCTTTACCAAAGCATGGTAAGCTTGATTAGGGGAGTTGAATCCTATGGAATGGAAACAGAAAGTCTTAAAAAGTTCAAATAAAAGCTTGAAACTATTGAAAGTGTGAGGGTTGCTCCTCAGTGAAGAATTAGGAAGATTTTTGGCTTATATAATTCATGCTCTTTATTGTCCTTATACTACTGCATGAATATGAGAAATAATCAAGATGAATTTGAGTTCTTAATACAGGAAGATAAATATGATTTAAAAGGTATAATGAAGACTGGGTGGAATGGCTGGAATAAAAGAACCTTTATTGAAGGTTACAGTTTGTCCCAAAGGAATAGAAGCAATAAAAAGGAAGGAGGAGTTGCCTGCTATCTTCAAAATATCCTGCTCAGAAATCAAATAAATGAACTTGGCAATGTTATAAAGAGCATCTGGGTTAAAATAAGTTCAGGGGGGAAAATAAAAGCAATATTGTTGATAGTGTCTACTATCACCCATCCAATCAAACTGCAAATTAAACAAGGCATTAAAGTCATAATGAACATCTGTTGGGAGACAAATTCTACCAAGCATACTTTCTCCTTCAGGGATAGAGGAAGATGTAAGATGATTAGTTATCCTTGACTTGATATTAATTAACAGGAAAAACATAGTTGAGGGAGTAGAAGTTGCAGGAACACTGGGGGAATGTGTCTGTAGAATGCTACTGGTTTTGATTTTTTTAGAAAAAAAAATAAAACTGAGCATAGCCCATATCTAGGCCATATTAAAACAGCAGATTTTAATAAAGCAAGTGCAGTAATAGCAGGATCTTATGGATGGAGAAGCTAATGGAATACAAGTTCAAGATTGGGTAAGAATTCCTAAAGGAGATACTAAAAGCACAAACGCAAGCAACTCCAGTAAAATGGACCACATTACAAAAAGTCAGTGTGGCCACACTAAAAGTTTAGGAAAATCTGAAACAAAAAAGAACTACTAGATAAAGAAATAGATAAAGAGCCAGGTCACAAGAGAACACAAAGAACTACCAGAAAGCCTAAAAGGTTCAGAATCATAGAAACATGGACCTCAGAGGCCATTTAGTTCAACCTATAGTTCAGAATAAAACTTCATAGGGATGGGATTCTTCATGTCATTTCATACTTTAATTTTGATTCCTGCATTATAATATAACAAGGAGTTGGACATGGATTCAGTACTCTCATCAAAGTTTAAATTTTTACCTAACATTAAGGGGCTGAAGCAGTGGTGGGTTTCAACCTGTGTTACCACCGGTTCACTACATGCACACATGCCAAACATGCGCTCCATGCAAGCGCACTGTATTACAGAGCAACTGAGACATGGCAATCTGCTCTGCCACGCCTTTCAGCTGGGCTAAAAATGAATATAAGGTATATATAACGCAGGGGTGGGTAGGAGGGCCAAGCTAACTGTCAAAGAGAACCGGTTTGCTCTCAGCTCACCATCGCCGCTACCGGCTCGCCCAAACCAGGCTGAAGCAGTAGAAACCCACCACTGGGCTGAAGACTTCTCGACTGTTGTATCCAGAGGAGGATTGTGTTTCTCTAATGTTTGCTCTGGTAGTATGTTTTTGAATGTATTTTCTGTTGTTTCAGAGAGAAGACCTCATATCCTTGCATTCAATTCACAAGAAAAATATTTTAAATGTGTATTAGGCATAATGTCCTGATTGTCCTAGTTATTTCTGAGATAATACAACTAGCTCAGAACATAGTAGACTCTCCTGTTTAAAAGGTTAATAAATAGAGACTTGACAATCACTTTTCAACAAATCAGCAGAAGTTGCATGGAAACATAAGGACCAAAAGAATGTAGGACTTCTATCCCCAGCAAACATGCCTTTTTTCATCTAGGTCTCCAAAAACATCAATTGTGACAAAAGTAATAGACTTTCCCCCCTTCTTTAGCTGTGTGCCAGTCTGAATTTCCTCAACTGTACAATAATCATTTGTCCATCCAAAGAATTGGAAGGCTATTGAAGCCAACAAATGTAACCCACTGCTCTATGCAGGAATCTAAGTAACTATCTTGAACACATTTTGTAAAAGGGAGCCATCACTTCTCAGGTATTTGATTACACTTTCAAAGAACTTGAATAGCAAGAATTTTTTTCTAATGTTCAAACAGAACCTTCCTTCCTCCCTTCTAAAATAAAATTGTTTTTCCTTGTCCTTCAGTTTGGAACAATAAAAAACAGGTGTAGTAGCCTTTCAGCAAATTACAAAGTATTATTATATCTCCTTTCGGTCATATCTTCCCAGGGCTAAACCCACCCAGATCCCTCTGGTTTTCCCCAAAAGAGCACATTTGTGTATGACAAAGTGCTAATGCTATTGCTCACTTGATTTGTATGCTATTTTTATCTTCATAAAACATTCCCATGATTTATATTTTCTGATAGTAATCATATTGTCATGCTTGGTTCTATTTATGCTTCTAAAAAAAAAATGTAACCACATCAATGGAGTGTCATGTTTGGGAGGATACAAGGATGGACTTGAAGACAAAGCCCCATGCTTAATTCCTGGCATCATTTGCTGAAAGAATTTCAATATGAAAAGGAAGCATTTTTGTTTGAAATCACTTATCTCCAAGAGCTCACAAAGTGAGGGAGTGTAGAAGGCAGCTGCAAATATTCAAATACACAAATGGGAGGGGAAGCTTTTGTATATTCCATCATTTTAAAAAAATCCTTTGGTATAAAATTATAATACTAAAATCACTCCAATGGCTATTTCTCTTTTAACAAGGCAGTATAAATTGGAAACCAAACTCTAAAAAACGCAACTGGGCAAATTATAAAGATATTGATGAACCTCAGATATTCAGCATCTTGTGCAACCATTAATTCCATATATCAGTGTTTCTCAACCTTGGCAACTTTAAGATTCGTTGATTTCAGTTCCCAGAATTCCCCAGGGAGCAGGGCTGGCTGGGAATTATGGGAGCTGAAGTCCACATATCTTAAAGTTCCTAAGGTTGAGAAATATTGCAATAGATCTTCAATCTATCAACTTTCAAATGATAAATTGGCTAGTTTTCTGATAATATACAATATAATGAAACTATACTTCTATTCCACTTTTGTTGTTTCATTGCAAACTGGCTTTTGAAAATCATCAGGAATTTAAGAAATGGATGAGTGAAATTCTATGGTATATCAACTATACAGTATTCTATTTAATTTCAAAACTGCAAACTTACAATGGTTGATAGAATTTCTCATCATATATAATTAAATTAAATTTTGTCAAATGACATTTTGTTAAGTGATTAAGGTAGCTGTACCTTTCCAATTTCTGCTTGGCCATATTCCTCCACAGTTCGACACTGCTTTGAAACAGCAGTACAGACTAGCTGGAGAAATATTATTTCTAAATCCTTATTAATTTAAGAGATCCCACAAAACTTTACAGTTGTGCTGTGTAGATATGAAGTGCTGAACAATCTGCTGGGTTTTTTAAGAACAAGTATAAATTTAAATGTATGTAATATTAGTAATTAGAAGTCAATGAGTCAGTTTTGAGTCTTGGGGACCTTATAAACAAATGTTAAATCATTTTTACTGGCCTTTCTTGTTATTTGGTGGTATACAAAACAGGGATAATTTCTAGCACTTCTAAGTATATTGCTATATGTAT